TGTTTAATAGTATTGGCCACGGAACTATATGTTCCCCAAGAGGAGATGAACAAACAAATAATTTAGATCATAAACACAAGCGTAAAGTTGCAAATATATGTCCAGTAAAAATATCTTCCAGCTCGCATAAACAATGAGGTGATGCTCATCTACTCGGCACTCGGTCAGGAGTGCATTGCGATAGCCGTATAGAAATCGGTGCTTGCTGAACACCTGCCCGAAGAGTGCAATGTTGTTAATGTTGTATAGCTATGACTACTGCCATGTCAGCAAGCCTCTGTGTGGCTACACGCAGACACTGTGATAGGGTGTCGCTGAAATTTTGCTGCGATGTTAATTTTTTTAAATTAGAAAATCGCCCTCGCTTTCTTCAGGATCCTCCATGCAATTGTGTCTACCTCTCCGCGCACTCTCCTACCTCTCCCCTCTCATCTCACTCTACTCCCCTCCGTGCACTCTCCTACCTCCCATCTCACCCTACTCCCCTCCGTGACGTCTCCTACCTCTCCCTTCTCATCTCACTCCAATCCCCTCCACGCACTCTCCTATCCCTCCCATCTCATCTCACTCTACTCCCCTCCACGCACTCTCCTACCTCTCATCTCACTCTACTCCCCTCCATGCACTCTCCTACCATCCCCTCCCATCTCACTCTACTCTCCTCCACAAACTCTCCTACCTCTCCCCTCTCATCTCACTCTACTCCCCTCCACGCACTCTCCTACCTCTCCCCTATCATCTCACTCTACTCCTCTCTAAGCACTCTCCTACCTCTCATCTCACTCTACTCCCCTCCTCGCACTCTCCTACCATCCCCTCCCATCTCACTCTACTCCCCTCCACGAACTCTCCTGCCTCTCCCCTCTAATCTCACTCTACTCCCCTCCACGCACTCTCCTACCTCTCATCTCACTCTACTCCCCTCCATGCACTCTCCTACCATCCCCTCCCATCTCACTCTACTCTCCTCCACAAACTCTCCTACCTCTCCCCTCTCATCTCACTCTACTCCCCTCCACGCACTCTCCTACCTCTCCCCTCTAATCTCACTCTACTCCCCTCCACGCACTCTCCTACCTCTCCCCTCTAATCTCACTCTACTCCCCTCCGTGCACTCTCCTACCTCTCCCTTTCATCTCACTCTACTCCCCTCCACGCACTCTCCTGCCTCTCCCCTCTCATCTCACTCTACTCCCCTCCACGCACTCTCCTACCTCTCCCCCTCTCATCTCACTCTACGCCCCTCCACAAACTCTCCTACCTCTCCCCTCTCATCTCACTCTACTCCCCTCCACAAACTCCCCAACCTCTCCCCTCTCATCTCACTCTATTCTCATCCGTGCACTCTCCTACCTCTGCCCTCTCATATCACTCGATTTCGTGTTGTTGACTCGTTTCTCTGTTAAAGTCCAGGCTTATAATCTCCCATTTCCACGTACATCATCTTGAGATGTGGTTCCATTTAGGCGCTGTATCCATCCTAATTGCATCGCGTTGTGGTCATGCACGTTGACACTAACAGTGGACACTTGCAGAGGACTTGTATCGCTAATCACGGTGCAACCCCAAGAGAGCATTGGAGTACACACAGTGCTGTACAGCATCGGGCATCCCACCTCCTGCACTGATTCTCTTGTGATGGACTAAATACCTCGTGGGGATATTGAAAGATTTGACATTTGTAACAGGGGCTTTCAAAATATCGAGGTGGGGGGTGGGGGGAGTGCCACAGCCCGAAGCAATTCACGAATACAATAGATGATAGAAATACTGTAGACAGTATATAGTCAACGAGAACACAACGAGATGTGATGGGTGGAAATCGACAACTTGCATGCGATTTACGTTGAAAATTAACGTCGCAAACCACTCAACTCGCGAACTTACGAGCGACGCAAGAATGTTACTCATCGACGGGTCAGAGCGTCATAGAATGTCAACCTTTCGCAGCTCCTTTGTCAATCCACTGTTGGATGAAGGCCTCCCCCACGCCGCGTCAGTAACGGGGCGCTGTTTGACCATACTTCACCACGTCGGCAGGTGCTGGTTGGCCCAAGCAGGACGTGGGAGATGGGGCAAGGTAGCTGAACTCATACGAATGCGAACACAATTTGGACTAATAATGAAGCAGTGTCACAATACAGGGGCAGGCCCCGAGATGCTTCGCAGAGACCTGGCAGGGCAATTGAACTATCAGAGGGATAAGTATGAAGCCAACCGGCAGACACAAACATATTGCAGGCCTACTGAGATTAAGTGAAGATGTAAACAAACCCCGGAGTGGAAGGTTGCTGTAGCTACAAATCAATCATGAGCGACAGCGAGACACGTGGGTCTGAAATGAAAGCTCCGTTGTAATCTGCGTATGTGCAAAGCAAATGACAATAACACGAGGGGCCGATAAGCCGACAACGGTGGCATGGGGTTGAAGCAACAACTGTCAGTCACATCACAGATGGGACGCGGCGTTGGGAGAGGGAAGGGAATTATTACGGCTTTCTGGAGCAATTGTAACTAAAGTACTGTCACTGTGTGGACGTGGCGGAGGTGCTTTGCCCTGACGTGTGGGCAAGGAGAAGCAAAATATAACGAGGACGACGCTGGAGCCTTCATCGCGAGGGGCGTTTAAGCGGCGAACAGGAGAGAACGTTGGATCGTTGCGGTGCGCGGAAGAGTTCGCGGGACGAGACGAGTGGGCACCGCGCGTCGCGTGAAGCGCAGAGACCCGCGTGGTGGGTGCATGACGGCGCACCCCCCCCCCCCTTCTCTCTTTCTACTCATTAGCAAAACAACGAGAGATTGAGGACTCCTCCATTGTATGTACACGTATTGCGCTTGCGTTCCGCGATCCGCACCGAGATGAAATATAGTTTCGATCGCGCGTGATGATGAAAACCCAACATCAACAACAAGACCCACCACACACACAATACCACACGGGCCAAAAGAGGGCGTGTATGTGTGGGTTATTCCCGAAAACCTGAACAAGAGGCTTCTCCAACGGTCTCCATTTCGCGCTCAATCGGAGTCATCGGTGCGGTAGAACCCCATAACTCGCCGAATGCCGCGTCGGCAACATCTGGGTGTTGTTTTTTTCTTTGTTTCTGAACGTTGCGAGGGCCTCCTCGTTTAGCCAATGGTGGCACATCGACTCAGCGGTCCTCCACCTCCGCAGACATCGCGCATTGGACATCACACAGTCTTTAGCCGTGAGCCCGTGTGCGCTGGCGGCGTTCGATGTCGTCGAGCTTGCAGGTGGCGGTGCCATTGCACAGGGGCCCACTGGTCGGATGGGGCCATTTGGGCTGGGCTGCGAAGAAAGGGGGTCAGGCAGACAGGAGCCCCCCGCCATTTCGTTAAAATAAAACAAAAAAAAACATGTTTAACCAGGTAAGGCTCACGAAGCCATATAGCTCTCTTTAGAAAGCGACCTCGCCACAAATGATAGCTCAAAGAAGTGGGCTCATCGTGTGGACATTTATTGCGGCCAAATTACTCTGAACGCAGTGTTTCTAACTTTGGAGGGAACAACCGGAGGACCCTGAGAAAAATCCAGGCGACCACGAGGAGAAAGAGAGAGACATGCAAACTCCAGATATACAGGGTTCATTGTCGGTGCATTTAATGCATCAATGTACCAAAATGTTGTGTACGTTTCCGAACCATATCGAAACAAATCGGGGGTGTCCTGAAACCCACGATACCGTCAGTGACTTGCACGTCTAACAGCAAGACCCCACCACGCTGTGCGCACTGCACGTGGCGTTTCGAAGCCCAGAGATGTATAAACCACGTGCCCCCTACCACTGCGCTACCTGCCGCAAGACCTACGCTGGCCCCCTAGACAGGGGCTCTCACGTGAGGCCGATCCGGCTTGTTGAGAAGCCCACACGGACGTGAATATACACCGTCTGTGTGTGTGCGCGCGCGCGCGCGTTAACTGCATCGACGCGTGCGGCTCGATGAAATATCGAAGCCGTTTTTTTGATTAACGGTGACCGCACCTGCATTAACACAAGACGCGCACGTGGGAACCGCTCGTTTTTTTTTGGGGGGGGGGGGGGGACTGTGATTACATCGACAAAGACATCGAGCTCTGCTATCTGGTGTCGTCATTGCACCCTTATTGCTTCCATTCACTCTTGTTTATCGATGGCTTAACAAGCCGCGTCACGAGATGGCGGGCCGTGAAATAAAGATGATCCAGAAGAAAGGAGCGTGCGTTAATTGAAAGAGGGCTCAATGCAAAGCGCCTATTAATTGATGCGTGCGTGCAGTTCAATACAAGTCGGCCGCGCACTTGCGATAGCAAGCGCAGATAGCTCCGGAGTTGACCCCATTTTTTTTAGATAAGAGGCTCTCAACTAAAGCAAAGCGACCGGAGCATAACTGCGCAAAGTCTCGTGAGCGAGCACCTAGCAAGGCACCCAGGTCCTAAACCATGGGGTAGGAACCTGCGCCTCCGGAGTAGCATGCGGCATCTTTAAGGACTGAGTTTGTTTCAGCGAATTCTAAACGAAAAAAAATACGTCTCTCTACTGGTTATTTCAGTTGCCGACCCCCTGGTCTAAACAATACAACTCAACCGCTCATATTGTCTGCACACAATTTCTGGCTTAGTCGACCTAGGAGAGGGTCGTGTTGTATGCGGACAACAGTGGTGTCGTATGGCCAGCGATGTAAGCTCGATGAATGAGAGATAGCATCGCGGCGGTGCGCTAACCACTGCCCCACCACTCCCATGCGTAGCGCACGTTGAGACACAAACTACCGTAGCAGTCTGAAAACGTAAAGTATCGTTTAAGCAACTCCCGTATCGCGGCGGTGGAACGAGCGACGCAAGGAAAACGTAAAAGAAAGACTCCGCACATCCTATACCTGTTGCCAGCGTACGTGCGTGTGCGTGTGTGCTTCTACCGACACTCAATCAGGTCGGGAACCGCCGCGCATAACGCTGCGATAACGGCACTCGTGGCGAAGTTTTAAAAAAAGACAGAGCTAACGCCGAGCCCAGCGGGCGCGATGAGTGTGTGTGGCTGCATGTCAGCAGCGCAGTGTGCGCGAGTATTAAGTCCATGTGTGTGAGTGTCTGCCCGTGTGTGTGTGTGGTGTGTGCGAGTGCGTCTTTGTGTGTGTGTGAGTGCGTCTGTGTGTGTGTGCGCGCGCGCGTGTGTAACCGCGTGCGTGCGTGCGTGCGCGGGTCTGGCCACGTTGTGTGCGTGAGTGCGCAACAAAAAAAAAAGGTCTCCAGGCGTACGCGGCCACGTACTCGATAATAATAATAGGTGTCGGGAGGTGACGGAGGCGCGAGCAGGGCGGGCGAGTGGGCCGAGCGAGCGAGAGGGAGCAGCGAGGGGGCGAGGGAACCCGCGTCCGGCTCTTGCGCTGATCCCTCCCCACGCCTCAAACATGAAGCCGGAGCGGAGCATGGCGGATGGCCCCAGGTGTAAGCGGCGAAAGCAGGCGAACCCGCGGCGGAAGAACGGTGAGTGGTGGTGGTGGTCGCTCCCATCGCGACCGGCCTCGTTTTTTTGCGACTCCGCGGGCACTCACCGCTCCGCCCGCGGACGGGGTTTGTTTGTATTTGTTTAGCTGCTGGCGTGGGTGTTGTTGGTTGGTGGTGCTGGTGTTGGTGGGTGATGATGGTGCTGCGGGTCTTGTGTTGTTCAAGTTGTAGGAGAAGCAGGAGTTAGTAGATTCTACTGTGTTTGAACTCGCAAAGTTTGCGCGCCGGCATGCGCGCGCGCCCTGTGTCTGCGCGTAAAACCGAACGGATAAAAAAAGTTGCCGCTCCGACTTTGTCAGTCGGGGATGCCGCGAACTGACGACGATGATTGCGGTTATCACGATCTTCAACATCGTCTTCATCGTCGTCGTTTTATTGCGTGAACGTCACTTTACCGGGTGAGACGGTGGCGACGCGGCGACGATGACGATGGTGATGATGGCGCTATTGCTGCCGGGCCCGTTACTTACCGCTGCCGGTCGCGGGGATAACGGGACCCGAATTCGCCGCGCCTCCCCGGGCCGCTGAGCGAGCGACGCGCCGCGCCTGCCCCGTCTCGCTAGAGGTCACCCCTACAAACGCCGTTACATCACATCGTGGCGCGACGTGCGTCTCTGTGTGTGTGTGTGTTGTCCAACACTCCCGCGGTGTGCGCGCAATCGCCAACAAGATAACGCGACGGCAACAAGAAAAAGTTCAATCGGAAACGCGTGCTAGACTCACCGAACGCACCTTCGCTGCGAGGTCTGCCCGTTCGTAATCTTAGCCGAGTTGCGCGCGCGCGTGTGTGTGTGTGTGACACCACCGTGGAGCGGACAACTCAACTCGTCGCTGCGATGTTGCGCGCGTTGAGAGAGAGAGATGAAAGAGATACGAGAGAGATGGGAGAGATACGAGAGAGAGATGCGCTCCGTGTCGGCTGCAGTCGTGTTGAGTTGTCATTCAGCGGACGGTGGACGGCACGGGACAGTGGGGGGGTAAAACTTGCGTGGCCGTCCTGTGCGCGCTGAGCGGAGCGTGAGGTTGCGGGAGCCGCCGAGAGGAGACGGATGGGACGTTAAATTCGCCCCGTGTTTCGCGATCGCTGATCCACGCTTAACACTGCGTTGACAAACTCAGAGCCCCCCCCCCAAACGCCCCCCACATACCCCCTTTTTAAGAGAGCCCGGCGGTTCGCTTTACGCAGGAAAAAACGCGGCGCTGAAAAATGTAGGATTAGCCGTGCTCGCTAATTTGAAAAGAAAATAACAAGTGTATGTGTGCGTGATGACATGCAGGACAACAGTGCTATCTATCTGTATACTATCCACAGCTCGTAGAGTCGTTTGTTTAATATTTAGCCTCTGCTGGTTTTGCGTTGAGAAACAATGCATCGCGTAGCGTAATTGTACTCGTGTGCTATAAAGAATGACCCATTGCCCGAAACATCGCCTATTGTACATATATTTTCACCTTTAAGACCACAACGTTGTTGATGAATCTTCAGTTTTTTCTTATTGTACTTGGAAATGTATCACAAAGACGCGGCGGCGTGCCCCTGTGTGAAACCAAACATAAAGACCCCCCGTATAGCCTTCAACAGACTGTTGGGGCAAGGGCTGTTCGTGAGCATCTATGAATACCGGCACGGTACACGAGAGGGTGGGTGGGTGGCCAGCGCCACGCGCGTCCGCCTTTGTCTCCCTAGTAACGATGTCTACGCGTCGCACCAGGTACTCATTTGAGGCTGAGTCGACCGAGGAGAAGCCCAGAACCGATTCAGATAATCGTCACCGGTGTTGGCCGTGAGCGAGAATCGAACCCGGGTCGCCGGGTTCGTAGCGCAGCCAGCAAACCGCTACACTAACCGCTCCCTGTATGAAGCCACAACCACAACCACCACCCACCACCACCACCCACCACCAACCCCAACAACATTGCAAGTGACACAGGCGCAGCGTGAGAGCGGCGCGGAGTGAACCCGGCTAAGTTTCGGCGCTCGCGAGTTTTGATGTTCACGCGGCACACAGCCCCCTGTCAACGGCGGCGGCGGCGGCGGCGGCGAGGGTTTGCGTGCAAACGTGGAGAGTGCGAAACAGCGGGGGGCTCCGTGAACCCAGCTCGGCACAGAATACAACGCGGCCCTCGGTGAGCCCCGCTGCGCGTTGCGGTGAGTGCATCATCCAGCAACTTGGTGGAGTCCTCCCGTGGGAGAATCGTCCCCGCGATTATTCATTCCTCTAGAACTCGCTTTAACGGGCGAGCGTGGCTGTAATAAAACACATTGCGCCTCCGTTGAAAGAGCTTATTATGTTTGAGTCGTCGAACGCACCGCGCGTACGTGCGTGCGGGGTGTATGGACATTGCGGGGAGCGGTAACGTAGCGGTTAGCGCGCTGCGCACCGAACCCCGAGTTCGATTCCCGCTCACGGTCGATTATCTGCACCGGTACTGGGTATCCCCATACGTCGGCTCAGCCTCAAATGAGTACATGTGGCGAGGGTGTAAACATCGGCCGGGCGTGGTGCTGACCACCAACTCCGCTTGTGTGCCGTGCCGGATTCAATAGGTGCTCGCTAGCAGCGCTTGCCCCAAAAGCCCGTTAAAGCTTTACGATGAATCTTTGTCTTATTTCGTACATGTATGTACGTATGTATGCAAGTGTGTATGTACGTGCCTTCTTTTTAAATTTTAAACACGCACAACAGAGTGTTGCTTCTCACTACTCAAACATATCACGGGCCGCTTGGTGTAACGAGACGAACAGGGTTATGTGACACGCCCGAAGCAGGCGACCACGTTTGTTCACGGAGTTATCCTACCAGCAGAGCGGCAAATTGCATCTTGTTGAGATCGTTCATCCTTTATCTCCCGTTGTTTATACAGGCAGACGTGTTCGTGTATAAGCACTTCACGTATATATACACACACACGTGCAAAATGCAACATGAAGATACGTTATCTCGATGTGCGTCGGATGACGCCAGTATTGCACGTTCAAGACGAACCCAAAACTTTATCGCCGCTCAGTTGCAGTGTGATCACAGGCACACACACACACACACACCGTGTTATACTGTTGTGTGTACAACAGTATAACACTGCAGAATCGCGCGCGCGCAACACGTAACACAAACACACACACGACGTGCACATTTTCATATCAACCCAAGTCTGCATCGGCACAAATTGCTTCGAATTCATCGTCGTCGGTTCGTATGTATGTCTGTGGAACTTCTTTCGCACCGCACGTAGCCAAGCGTGCTAATCTGGAGGCGCTTTCGTTCGCAAGACCGACAAAGCCACCTCCAGCACCACGTTGCTCGATCGACGTTACTGCGCACAACGTTACCGAACGTCGGCCGTCTCAACCACCCCTTCAACCCTCCCCACCCTCTCCTCCCGTAGGTGGCAACGCGCCCAGTCGGAGCAGCTCGCACTGAGTGGTCGGAGCGAGTTGTTTGTGGGGGCGGCTGCCCACGCCGCACGACGCGCCACGACAGTGTCCCTTTGTGCGTCGCGACTCCAGCAAATTGCCCCATTGTTTGTGATGAGTCGTGCGCGCTTCGCGGAGTCTCCCTCGCCACCGCCACCGTCTCCCCCCCCCTCCTCTCGTTGATTGCCGCTCGGCGGACGCGGGCGTGCGCGCTTCTTGTTCCCACACACCCCACGCGTGCTTCGCGAGAAACTCCGAGCGCGCAGGAAAGACGGCGGAACGCGGCCACCCCAATTGATCGTTCGTCGACCACGCGGGTGAAACGTTTAAACGTCCTCCGCACGCTCAGCATCGCAGCGTGTACAACAACACCGATGATAATAATCATAATCATGGGGGGGGGGGGTGGGGGGCATTGCTTCCACCCAAGTTCTGGCGCGATGTGAATTCCCGTCAGAGACTACCGAACCTTTATTTTTGTTCATCCACATCGCAAGTGCCGTGCTCGACTCGACCCGAACGTGATGAAGCGCTTGAAGAGTATAACTTGACACAGGGTATTTCGCGTCTCGGGGGAGTTTTGATTGCGGCCCGGTCGTTAAGACTGGCAACACGAGAGACGAGCGTAGCTCGTGTAAACGATGCGTAATGAGGTGATCGCTGTGACGTTGAGCGCACGTTTTTGCGCCGTCACGGGTCGGCCGTGTTCAAATGCACACGGGCACTGATGCGCTCGACTGCCCCGCGAACGCGACACTTCCAGCGTGGGCGATCGCTCGTTACATCGGCGAACGAAAATACACATATGTGTAGTGCGCTCGGCTATTTTAAAACAACTCCGGCTTACTTCGACGCTTAATGCTCACAATTCCACGAACGCGTGCCAATAGTCCCTTTGTCGGCTTATATAAATGTGTTATTGATAGTCTCCACTCCAATGCCCGATCTTCTCCGTCATTCCATTCCATTCATTCGATCATAGGTAGTTTTTTTTTTATCATGCTCTTAAGCGGTGCTTAGTCTCGCAATAAATGCAGCGCACCTTCATTGGAGCGGCGATTATTTTCGAAGTGTCATCGCGGGTAAGACTTTGCGAGGCGAGAGCTTTCTGAGCGAACCCCGGGCACGTTCGTTTACGTTGGAATCCACAACACACGGGGTGGACCTGATGTTTTGCGCGTGTAATGCGCGCGCGCATAAGTACGTGCAACGCGAAACACACACGACGCGACGTCGCACGAGTCGCATCAGGGGCAGGGGAGATCCGAACGCGTCTTTCCCTGCGCTTTGTTGACGCGGTGCGACAATAATTTATCCGCGGTTTTAATCGCGATGACAAATACCGGGAGCGTGGAATCAGAATGCATCTCATCGTCGGCGGTATGCTGTTATTAACGCCCCGCTTTGTTTGTTACACTGCACGTTACGTTGTTTTTATTATTGCATACACATTCAACCTATTATGTGCTTCGTAATCGCAGAGTTGAGAGATTGCAGGCGGAAGCCGGCGTCGTTTGTCGGGCCCCGTTCCCCCGCCATCCCCTCCTAATTGCTTTGTTTCTCT